CCTTCGGGACAATTTTATGTGGTCATTCGGGACAAATCAATGTAGTACTTCGGTGCATATTTTACGTGACACTTCGGTGCAAAATTATACACGGTAGTTTCGACTGCAATTGCAGTGTACTACCTCAAAGTACTCACATACCTTGAGTTCCCAGTGATATGCGTTAGGCTATTTAAACTAGTTAATATGAATTGAATAGTGCATGACAATATATGTTATTTTTATGAAATGTATCTTGTTTTTCGTATTTAATGTTTATCCTGAAATATTTAAGCAAATGTTTTATTATGTTCATTTATGCCTCACTAAAGTCAAAGACTTAGTGTGTGAGTGTTTTCACACATAGGTTCAAAGAAGTCAACATAGTAAAGCTAGGTCATGACAACATATCCTTTGAAGAAGATCAGATCAGACCGATTTGAATAGTAGGTGATTTTGTTATTTTGAAATTTTGTTGGCATGTACTATAAATGTTTAAATCGCAAATGCTCTGATCTGTTTTGTAACTATACTAATTAAGGTTTATGTAAATATATTAAATATTTGTTCACTGTCTAAAATTAATTTCGATTTTAACTCGTGTTAATGAGGGCTTCGCCACTAAAATAAAGAAAAAAGTCAAATTTTAGTCGGATTTTTCAAAGAGTCAAAGCATTGAAAAGTAATGTTGCACCTCATATTCATATCCGGGTTGTGTACGAGTCGAGGGTGTGACACATTTTACAATGACATAAACAATAAAAAGAATATAAAACATGAAAATATTAAGTAATAATTAGGGGTTCTTAATGAATTGAGCAGATTGTGAGCAGCTCGAACTCAACTCAATCAAAATCCAATAAAAGCTTAACTCGGGTTGACTCGACTTGAACTCGAGCTTGACTTGAAACCTTAACGAGATGAGTCGAGCAAAGTTTAACTTGACTCGATAAGTTCACAAGCAACTCGTTAATTTTTATATAACTTTTTAGTTTATATTAAAAAATTATTTCATTCAAAAATTACTAATTTACTAATAGATAATAAAAAATGATAAATTAATAATCTATTAATTTTTTTAATAAATCATTAAAATACTAAATTATTAATTAGTAATTATTATTTTACTACACTCAAAATCAAACCCTAATTATTATTTTAATATATTTATGAATTGTTATTTTGGTGTTTACACTTTGAATTTGTTTCATACACTCTTTTGATATTTTTTGGTTAAATTTGTTAATTTATGTTTATATTAAGTTTAATATAGTATTAGTAGATTTTACTGATAGTTTAGTGTTAAATGCTTACACAATTTTTAAATAGTCAAGGATAATCTTTTAAATAGTCAAATAAAACCTAATCTTTTTACAACATTTTTTCTTTTTAATTTACTACTATAATCAATTAATTTAGGGTTAACTACCTATTTGGTCACCCACCAATTCATGTGTTTCTGTTTTGGTCACCCAACTATTTTTTTTCAAAAGCTTACCTAATGTCATGTTTCATTTCTATTTTGGTCATCTGTCATTAGGTTTGAATGTTGACTTGGGAAATAGTGATGTGGCATGTTATAAATAATAGTCTTAGTCCTTAAAACTTACACATTCTATCAAATTGGTTATAATTCAAGATAATTTAATAAATCCCCAATATTAGAAAATAAAGCAGTTATAAGAGTAATGAATGTGGGGAGAGAAAATTGATAAGAACGATGAAAAGATGGTGTTCGAAGGTTTTGTGATTTGTAGAAGAGCAACAATGACGAGAGATGGGTGGAGGATGTAAGGTTGTAGTGAGCTAAGCGACTATGAGAGGACAAGAAAATCGTCAGGTGAGTGGTGAGGTTGTTTTGATATCACAAAGGGGTGATGAAAAGCGAAAAAACATGTCGGATGGTGAAGGAAGGATGAAAGATGGTGTGAAGACGATTCTAGGAGCTATGAAGAACGTGGAGATGACTGCTTGTTATGAAACTTAAATAAAAAGGGACATTCACACAATAAATCTCTAAACTTCCATAGTTTTGAAAGTAGGAACGTATCTTCGAAAAATATGAAAATTATTTTAAATTAAAATGAGATTAAAATTTCTTTTATTATATCAATTAGGATTTCATTTTAATTTCACACTGCTTTCATAATATAGATATAATATCAAATTTAATATCCAAAATTTACTCCTTTTATCATTTTGATTCTATTTTTTTGGACATTTTGATCATTAATCTCTAAAATTCAACCTATTTTTTGCTTTTTGACATCAAACTAGATTGGACCATTAAAAAACTTGTGTCAGTTCTGATGTGTAAGCATGTCTAGAAATTCATACACACTTCAAAATGTACATCAAAATTATAAAAAATTAAAAATGTCCATTTAAAAAAGTTTATAAAACCCAATGAAATATATATATATATATATATATATATATATATATATATATATATATACATGGATTATCATGTGAGTTGTCGTATTAGAATTATTAAAATTTTAGCAGTCTAATCAACTTTTTAAAAATAGTATTTTGCCTAATTTGAAGATTGAGATATAAAGTTATAAAAAAATTGGGTCAAAGTGAGAACATGGATAAATGTTAAAAAGTTGAATTTGCTGTTATACGAAACAACAATAATAATACCACATCATCAAATTTAATCAAATTGGTGATTATTTGAGCAGATTCAAAAAATATCAGGCCCTTATTCGAAAATATTAGGCCCCTCGTTCAATCAAGGTAAAGGAATACCCTTATTTGAGTATATTTAAAAATATTAGACCCTTATTTGATCATTTTTAAAAGGTTAAGCCCTTATATGAGCAAATCCTAATAGGTTAGGTCCTTATGTAAGTAATTAACCGAAAAAAATTATTTCAACATTATTGGTTGAGGACATAAGTGAGAAAACTAATATTTAAAAATAGTTTAAGTTTAGACGAGTATGACTTATTATTTATGATAATTAGTTTGAAGATTTGTGAAGTGATAGGTAGAAAAATGAAAAAAAAAATTAAGAAATTTATTTTTATTTTTATTATAATTTAGAAGTTTAAATCATAGACATATAAAAAAAATTATCTTAAAATTATCAGTTTTAATTTAATATATAAATACATATTAATATATATATTTATTATATTTTTATATAAATTATAATTGGTGATTAAGTTGAATTTTGTTATATTTTTAGTTGTTAAAGATTACTTGGTAATTAGGTTTATTTAACAAAATAAATATTTATTTTAGGTAAGAATTCTTATTATATGAGAATTTTTGGTGATAAAGTATTTGACTTTATAAATATAGATTATTTACTAGTTTTTAGGGTAATTTAAGGTGAATTATTTTGGAGAGATGTAATTCTTTTTGTGATCTCTGTAATTTTTAGGCTTATACTGTAGAGATAATTATGTAGCGATGTTGGAAGAGTGTTTTGGGATATATTAGGTTTTGATATCTATACCGAGTTTTGGGTACATGTGAATCATGTGTTTGTACTCTTCGTGTTCACTATGTTTATAGTAGATTGTTGTTCATCTCACCTGTGGAGGTAGACAAGGCCAAACCACGTTAAATCTTGTTTCTTGTGTATGTCTTATTTTATATTGATATCACTTTGGTTATTTTTTTATTTTTATTTTTTGCTCTCGAATTCCTTACAAGTTGTATCATAGCTATGGTTCGGGCTGTGGAGTTTTGAAAGAATTTGTTGCTACGGATTTTATTAGCGCTTTTAGAGGCATGCAAGATGAATTTGTTGCAATGAGTTTTTAGTTGCAGGAGAGTAATTTTCGATTGATCCAGTGATACTTAAATGAATATTGCATAAGAGTTAGAGTTGTTGAAGACTTGACCATGATGTTTCAACAAATATGCGTCTTACATAAATATTGAAGTTGTTGAAGACTTGAAGACTACTTTTTTGACGAAATTTAGGTCAATGAGGAGATTTCTTATATTATGACTTAAATTATAATTGGCAATTAAGTGGAATTTTATTATAATTTTAGTGGATAAAGATTATTAGGTAATTAGGTTTATTTTATAAAATAATTATTATAAACAGAGGTTATGTCTTAGTCTTTAAGTTAATATGAGACAGAATTATTTTGGAGAGATGTAATCTTTCTTTGGATAACTGTAACTTTTGGGGCTTAAGTTACAGAGATAATTTTGTAGGGATGTTGGAAGAATGTTTTGAGATATACAAGGTTTTGATATCTATACCGAGTTTTGAAATACATGTGAATCATGTGCTTTTATTGTTTGTGTTCTTTACGTTTATAGTAGATTGTTATTCATTTCACCTGTTGAGGTAGACAGAAACCTCGTCAAATCTTGTTTTTTTTTGTGAGATTCAATTTTTTTTGGGCTAACACTCTCCAACCTTCACTGTATCTAACCATTCGAGTGTTTTTTTTATTAATTATATATATCCGATATGATTACTTCATGAGAAATGGAAAATTAAAGCAATATAGCAAGAAATTCGAAGGTAATAAAGTTAACTTTGTTGGCTTCATACACCATTGATGCATGCTTTGATTATTTTGTGTATTGAAAGAAAATTTTAATTATACATAAATATTAAAATAATTTATCATACTATAAAGGAAAATAATATAAATTTAAACTCGAACTTACAATAATAAGAAAAAGAATCTCTAATAAGAAACATTTTCAAATTAAAAAAGAGATCTTCTCATTGAGTCAATTATTACAGATTTAAAACCGTTGACTAAGTGAAAATATATGGTTGAAATTAATTTATTGTTTTTTTCAGTGAATATCTTCTCATTTCCTGCTGTTAATCTGAATTATCTATTTTCACTCATCCAACGATTTTAAATCTATATAAAACTAAAAGAACTGTACATTATGTAATTCAATATTATCCTCACTATATATATATATATATATGTATGATTGAAACTTAATAGTTAATAAAGATCAAATATCCCTAATAAAAAAAAGCAAGAAGAAAAGGATATAAAGATGTTCAAAGTTCTAACCTGCTGCTCAAGGTATGGAATTGGATCCAATCTGTCAATCCTTTCCGACTGAAGATTTCGCCTTTCAATCACTAGCCTCGTACTTAGGATAGAGAGCAATTTCTCAGTACTTGTAACTCTTATATATATATATATTATACCCTAAGTATGCATTGCAAAGATGGGGTTCCATGCCACAAATAAATATAAACATAAACAAACCCACAGAAATTCAAACCGAGCAATTGCTTAGTTTATGTAGAGGCTATTTTTATACAAGAGCTACTGATTTGCTGGTATTGGTTGTGGTGAAATATATCTAGTTAATACTATATATGCATATTAGCAAAGATATGCTCGTTCTCCGGCAAAATTTGATCATTTCTTTTTATTATGTAGATGATATGCTTAGGGTTAAATAAGTATTAAACACTTGTATCAATGATTTACATTATCAAATCAAAATCATAATCACTTTCAAATCAGAAACTATTTTTAGTAGTACGTACTCCACCTATTTCTCCACAGTGTTGGAGTACTATGTTTTAGAAAGACCTCCAAAACTAAAACTTCTTCTTCATTGTACAAGTCTGCCGACCTTTGTTCCATATTTTATGAGCTCGGAAGATATTGACAATGGGATTTCATGCTGCAGAACAAAATATCGGACTTTCACGTGAACGATATCATCTTCCATCTTAAGAATCTAGTGGGATTCAATTTACAGTAGCACTGCCTATGTTTTTACTAAAGGAAGAAAGTTTTTAATATAAATATATACGAATCCGGTACATTTCAGTCATTAAGGATTATACTATGAACACAGTTTTCTTGATTCTAAAGATCTTCATTCAATGCCATAATATAAATGCCGCTATTCCGATGGCCTACCGCTATTTAAATCACTGGTACAGCAAGAATCAAGGAAAAAACATATAATATTGAGAGAAGAGGGAAGAAGAAAGAGCCATGTTTACCTGGTGCTGGAGTACTCGAAGAGCTTGCCGGTGTTTGAAAACACTATAAGAGCAATCTCGGCGTCGCAGAGAGTGGAAAGCTCGAGAGCTTTCTTGAAAAGCCCTCTTCTCCTCTTGGAGAAAGTCACCTGCCTCGCCGCTATGTTGTCGATCTTCTTGATCTGGATTTTCTGCCTCGTCATCCTCCAATTTATCCAGACCTTTCCATACAAAATCAAAACAAAGTACAATTAAAGAAACCAAAACAGCAATATTACCAATCTAAGGTGATTTACTTTATTAACAAGAAATCAAACTAAGGAAAAAAAACCCAGAAACGAGAAAAAAAATAGTTTTCACCACAGATCGAGCAAAATACAAGGAAAGAAGCAAGTTTGAGACCTGAGAAAACATTTCCAGATATGGGAAAATGCATAGGAAAGGAATCAGTGATATAAAAAGCAACGAAATTAATCTCTTTACAGTTTTTCTTTCCAAATTAAGCTCAGCATAAACAATACTATAAAAGAAAATAATAAAATAGCAAAAGAACCCCAGACTACCTCATCATCAAAAGCAAAAGAATACAGAAAACCCTAGATGGGGATTAGAAACTAGGTGGAAAGGATAAACATGGAGTAGCCAAAGGGGAGGAAGGGACATGAAAAACCTACCAAGCCAAGCACATTTAGCAAGGAAAATGGAAGCAAGAACAAGTGGATGGATTGAACCGAAATTTTTTTCTGGTTTTTCACACAATATGTCTGCTTTTTATTAGTGGTGACACTTCACAAAGGACCAGGCACAAAGCCACCGATTGTTTTGAGAGAGAGAGAATTTGGAAAGAAAAGAAAAAGGACGAAGTAAAGACATGGAAAGATTCCTTTTATATACCAAACAAGGATTGAGGGACTGACTTGCAAATTAGAAAATCACCTAGTTTTGGAGATCAAAACAGAAATAAATTTAGATTTCAATGGCCTTGTTTTGGTTAAATTGTATGAGTTATCATTGTAATTTTTATTTTGTTTGTGAATTTAGCTCATTCACTGTAATTATTTAGCCGTTTCTAATCTATCTATCTTGCAGAATGTGTAATTATTATGTGATTATTTTCTTAGCCATTAATTGCGCTTATACAATCTACAGATCAGATGCTCGAATTTAACTCCTTTAAAATATAATATTTTCTATTACCATTAAAATCACTTAATAGTTTCTCCTTATATGACGATATATATATATATATATATATAGTTGGAAAATTTTTACATATTAAAAAAAACAAAATATATCATATTTATTCAATCATAAAAGAATATAAATGTATGCATTAATACATACCACGCCATTACATTTTTAAAAAGTAAATCACACCAAATTATTTGACATAATTAAAAGAAAAAATAGTCTTAGAATTGAAAATATACTCTAAAAAAGGCTTAATTTACAATTTAAACCATAAAATATATTATTTTTTCTCATTGCATTCTAATTTTTTGTCTCGTATTACCTCTTAAACTATCATTTTCATCATAATTTATCTTGACATGAAAAAAAGTGAGGTCACACATTATTGGATGTCGATAATTTTTAGGCAAATAAGACAAAAATGTAAGTTAAAGGGGGCAATTGGGAAAGAAAAATAGTTCAAGGTATAAAATGAGAAAACATGTATACTTTAAGGACTATACTGTGAATCAAGTCTTTTGAAATAGTTGAGAAATTATAAATAAATCATATTACATGAAAACGAGTAAATTCGTGGCAAGAGATGGTATAGGGACCATGCTCAATAGCGGTCAGAAAATTATGACTCCTTTGTACCCTCGTACCCGTTTTCTTCTCCGAGGCTCTTTATCTTGGCTCTTTCATCCTAATATCTATTTATCTATCAATATATTATAAAATTTTAATCTTATATTAATTCTATCGTAATATTTTGTTATCTCAATTCTAATGTCTCGTCCTGATAAACTCATCATCATCTTCGATCTTCACCAAAAGTTGAGGGTTTACTCATTATTAGCTATATTCGTAAATCGTCATTTTTTTGTATGTCTTTTATGATTATTCTAAGCATTGATAAACTCATTTTATTGTATTTATCTCTTTATCAATTTAATTTTTTTCCAAAATCACTTTAGCTAATAAAATTAAAGATAAAATTTATTACTTTTAGGCTTTGAGGAGCTTCTCAATTGAGAGACTTGTGTCACACATTGATTTTAGAGTAGCGAAAAAATTCATTAAGTTCAAATGGAATTTATACTCAATTTCTTAATGTGGTATATCTTCTTCTTAATTTGATACATAAAGTTTTACGTCATCGACTATTTTTTTTATTTAGAGTATTACAAGTGGTAGTATCTAGTGTAGTAACTTTCAATCATTTGACAACGAATGCTCAACTACTTTACAGTCATTGGTGCTCGAACCCGAAATCTCTAGGGATATCAATCCAGGCTTGTTCTTGAGATTTTAGTGGCATGGGGTGAACATATAAAAATTAGGCCCCTAATAACAAGTATCGGAAAAAAATGAATCATAAGAACAAATAAAACTAAATAAATTTGCTTGTAAATTATTTTTATTATGTTTAATAAACTATCTAATAAATACATCGAATTTTAAATATAAAACATCAAGACATTTTATTGAACATCGAGCTACTTACACAAAGCAAGCATGGTCCTCTTTTAGGAGTATACATATTAGATTTTAATATTTCTCATACTGTCAAAAAATAATAAAATAATAATTGAGTGAAAAGTGATTAAAAATACCACAATATCATCACCATTAATTTTTTAATGGTGGTAACAAAAAAAAAGAAACAAATTATAACGTTAAGTGCGATTTAAAAAAAAAAATAATTGAATGATTAAAATAGGAATAAAATAATATGTGGTTGTCTAAATAGATCATTTATCCTTTTTAATTATATACAAATTTATAATTTTGGGCTTGATAAGTGCCCCTTTTGTCTAGGCTCAAGGACGAGCATGTATAAATTATCCCTTTAACCATTGAGGTAACTTTGTTCGTGCATACCATGAATTATTTAAGAGTAAAACTACGCAAATGGTCACTAAAGTTTGAGTAAGTTTTCATTTTCACAATTGATGTTTCAAAAGTCACTAATCAGACACTAACGTTATCGTTTGTTACAAACTAGTCACTTGACGTTAACAACCATTAATAGGCATAACAAAAATCACAGTTGGACCATTATCTGCTAACTTGGATTGCCATAGTGGTCAGTCAAATGGCTCAAATTTTCACCTCTTCCCCTTTAAATAAAAACTCAATCCTTAACCTTAATTTATCCATTTGCATTTATATTCTCTTTTTGTTTAAAATTTCTCAAAAAATTCATAAGAGAAAACCTAGTAAAGGTGAAGATGGAAGACTCCATTGATGTTCTGCTTTGCAATTGTGGACAACCAGCTAAGGTGGTCACGACTTGGATGAAGGAAAATTGTGGGAGAAGGTTCTTTGGTTGCTGAAATTATGGGGAAATGACTAAAAATGTCATTTTTTATTTAGATGGATCCTCTGATGATGCCTCAGGAAAAAATTGTATGCTTAGGGCTCCTGAAGAAATAGAAAAAAAATTGGAAAGGGAAAAGAGAAATGAGATGATTTTTGGATTTTTTTTATCTTGAATTTATATCTCTATAAGCTTTGGGTTAGCAAATGAAGAATTCTTTGATTTTCTATCTCTGTGAGTGGAATGGTTTTTTGGATGGATCAAAGGTTTTTGTTGAAAATTGTTTTTATTTAAATGGTGGATGAAAGCTTTTTGTAATGACAGTTTATATGGATTTCCGAATGAATTCATAAGGTTTTATTTTGTAATGGTGGGTGTTATGTTATAATGATAGTATTATGTTGTAATGATAGAATTATGTAATGAAATTTTTCCTTTTTCATTGATAAGTTATCGCATTAGAATTTTCCTTTTGCATTGAACTACAAGAATAACCAAAATAATTTCACATTAACTTTAAATCAATTATAGAAAAATTGACTTGAATGTAATTTTGCACAACTTCAATAACACAATAAAAGTTAAAATATGGTCTAATTCAATATTAGTAAACTAATACAAGTCAAAATATAATTTAAAATAACAATTTGTCAAACTTAATCTAATTCAATATAAAAATAAGCCTAAGCTTAATTTAAGTCAAAATAAGGACAAAAAAGCTATACGTCAAAGCCAATATAATCAAAATAATATATATTCAATAAGTAGAAGGTATATGACAAAATAAGTCATGTTCATAAGTAAACTACACAAAAAGTTCCATCATCACTCAGACATACTTCAATCCTTTTATGTAGTGTGAAATTTTTGAGTGGGAGGGTTAGATACACAATATTTTTACATACAGATATCGCATGGACTGTTGTAGGAGGTGTCATCATCCAATAAATTGTTGTAGGTGGTGGCATCATCCAACGAACTGTTGTAGGTGGATTAAGTGACATCATTGTAGGTAATTTGTGTCTTATTTGTTACTGCCTTGGAGTTGGTTGTTGGGATGGCTGGTTAGGTGCATGTCAAGCTTGTTTCTGGTGAGTTATATGTCGTTGGTTGGATCCAATTTCATGTTGGTTTACTCTATTGTTACCACCAACTTCTTTTCTACAAGTCCTCTTATTGTGGCTATGCTTCTAACACTTTGAGCATTTTTTGAGAGAACCATTCTTGCTTAGTTTAGTTACTGTTGCATGTTGTGAGTACTATACAATTATATGCAAATAATGTGCAAGTATACACAATCACTCAAGTAATACAGTGCTGAGTGAGTATCGTCTCCACAGGGATTGGGTGAAATTACAAAAGTCTAACCAAAGCAAAGCACTAATTTTTCTATGTATAATTAGTCTTGATATATACAAATGTCACTGCAAATGAAAAGTGTATGAAGGTGGATATGGAGTGATGGTCTAATAGTGTAGTGAATGGAAATGCAGTTGCAAGGTAAGATGTTTAGTGCTAAAAATGGTGCAATGTCGAGGTAATAAGAAATGGTAAAAACAGTAAATAAATAACAAATAAAATGATAAGAAGATAATCCTCACGTGACAAGCTTTCAATGGAGTGAATGGTGGGGATTGATTTAAGGATGCTAAATTTATCTCTCAGTTATATTTAAGTTTTCTGGACTTCACTTACTCGACGGGGCTTTCCTAAAGTGTTCGCAAAGGAACCTAATAGAATAGGATGCCAAGGCATCTGCTCTCACTCAACGATGTTGGCCAGCCTACCTATTGATAAAGACACCCTTTTTAGTCATTGAAATCTTATCCTAGTCTCTCTTGAGATCTAAGGGATTAGGTTATAGTATTCCTAGGCCGGTTTAAAGCCCCCTGAAAATACTATAGCCCATTGCTTATGAGGATCTTGTCTTGTGTTTCTCTCGAATACTACAAGTATTTTTAGCTTAGGTTTCTCTCGGACACCTAACCTTCATCTAAGAAATGGACACACTCATGCCTTTTACAAGCTTAAATGGCGAAGTATTCATAAGCAAAGCAAGCAAATAACCAAGATAAACATAAATATACCATTAAAATAAAGTTTAAACAACCATAAAACCAACCACCACCAAATAAGTTAGTTCACGGTGGGGTTCAAAATATCCAAATTCAAAGTCATGAAAATATTCGTTCCAACTACCCACAAATAAATGGAAAAATAGCAGCAAATGGAATTGAGAAGAAGCCTTCGATGTACGCCACTAGAGGTCTCATCAGCCACCACGAACCACCTTAACTCACTAGCTCCTCTCAGCGCTTAGCTCGCCACTCCTTGAAGCTTTATCAATGGAGGAAAACCCAAGGGAGAAGAAGGG